TTAATTATTGAAAACTATTTAAAGTAACCAAGATTATAGATATAGACTGTACAAGATCCGGATCCGTTACAATACCAGTTGTCAATTTTAAAATCTTTGGTGGATCCTGAGTATATTATATAGAAGATAGTTCAATTGTAAAAAGAAACATTTAAAGTGCATACACACTTTATATTCATGATATGTATAATATGTCTAGATTTTTGTTTTAAAAAAATAGAGATAATGGTTTGCATTCTAGTATAGTACACAAAAAATAAAATGGTAAAGAAATCCACAACACCCACACATAGTGGTAGTCAAAAAAATAAAAGGTAGTAAATATATTGCAACAAAACAGAGATAATAACTCGTTTTTAACATTATAGATTATTACTTATTCTACATAGATATTATTTTGATCAGAGACAAATTAATGTAATGCTGGTCATATAATAAAAAGGTTATTGAATATGTGTTACAAATTATCGTATATATTTGAATTTATGAAATATTTATTTAAATTAAAAGAATATTAAAACAAAAAATACAGTATCGGTTAAAATATACATATGTGATAAAAATGGCAGTTATTTTTATGACTTGTAATAAATTGCCATAGTGTACTTGTTGTATGGAAACGGAATTTAAGTGGATTCGGAATTTATATATAAAACCCGTTTTGGGTTGATTTTATCATATGTACACCCTAACCCTAACCCTAATTTAACTAAGAAATTCCACTTAAATTCCATTCCCACTTACAACATATATACAGAATAGAAAATTTTGTTTAAATTATACAATCAACAAACTGAAATATATCCAAGTTCGTTTTTATCTTTTTGAACCAAAGTCATCAACATTCGCCATCCGATATTCTCATAGTTAAAATTAAAAGTTAAAGAATGTTCGCAAGAAAATGTAGAATCTTTTCTTTGAATTTTAAAAAATATAATTTGCTGATGATTTGTTAAAAAAGCAAAAACTGTTTTTCTTAAAAGTTGACTTCCAAGAATTTTAATTCCATAATTAAATACTTGTTCATAATGCGCTTTAGATAATTTAACTCGTTTAAGTTCTCCAATAATAATTACGTTTGAAGAAGTAGGTTTATAATCACGTTCAGTCACAGAAACATCAGGTTTTAAACCATCTAAATAAGGTGTAGTACAAGTATTGTGAGTTGAATATTTCGAGTTTTCAGATGTTGTTAAACTAGAATAAATTGAATTAAATTGATCTATAAAATGTTTTTGATGTGCGTTTTCTTTTTCTAATAAAGTCGGTGATGATTTAATATTTGAACCAATAGAAGTTAAAGGAGCATAGGAAAACCAACTATGAAAATAAGAACATTTGACATCGTTGATAAGGTTATACTGCTTTTCAATTTTTTCCATTCCTAAAATTAAATAAACCATAATTGATATTAAAATTAAAAAATACATTAAAAATGATCTTATCAAAATTACCTGCTAATTCTTTGTCTAAATTGTTAATATGTAGTTTCATTAAAGAATCTAATAAATTAATAAATTATTAAAAAAAGAATGATATAACTAATTAAAATAAAATTCTTTACAGTGTACTTACTCTCTTCAATTAATTTATTCTGTTCCTTTATTTCTTTTTGTAAATTCTTGATTTTCTCTTCTTGCTGACAAAATAACTTTTCATATTCAATATTTTGCTTTTCTAATTTCTTATTAATTGCAATCAATTTTTTGTGCAATTCCAAAAGTTCTTGCTTAGTTAATGTTGAGTAATCAGTATTGTTTAGATCTGTAATATTGTTTATAATTAAAATTTAGTTGAGTGCTTAATTATATATAGTGCTGCAAAATAGTTTTACTAAGCTATAAGTCAAACGGCAAAGTTATTGCCAGCCTCTGGAACCACGAGTTGAAGATATAGCACATATTGAGTTATTAAATGTAAATACAATAATTACATATCATTGATTCGACATGCTAGATTCGGGTATTCGATTAATCGAATCATCCGATGTATTAGAGGTTACAAAGTTCTAAGGTAATCGATAATATAAATTAGAGAAATTCTATTTTCACCCGCATGCTAAATAGAATTTCCCTAATTTATATTATCGATTACCTTAGAACTTGTAATTGTCAAAAGAATTTATATTGTTGATTACTTAGAACTTTTAATTGTCAAATGAATCCGGATAATTTAATGGATAATTCGGTTATGGATAATTCGGTTATTTATAATTCGGTTATTCATTCATTAATCTATTTTATCCAATTATCCATCAAATATTGGATAACTAATGATGCCTGACGAAACTCACGTGATTGATGTATAGTTTCGTCAAATTCGTCAATGGCGAAACACATGAGTTTCGTAAATTCGTCAATGATAAAATAGTTTCGTCAGGCATCTATATATTGGAACTCTACATATAAGGATTTTTTTTATTTTTGGCTCTCAAAATTTTCAAGAATAGAATCACCATCACACCTAGCAAAAATATATATATTGTCGTTTGTTTAAACAAGAATCTTAATTTATCTTCGTTTATGCCTATAAACAGCTTGCTCTGGCTCGTAGATCCAATCATTGATTCAATAGCATAAGCCAAGAGCCGAGCTAAACTGACCATTGCAGCACTATTCATCAACATTCCTATATTAAATTATCAATTACCTTCAACTTTAACGTCTTTTTTTTCGTCTTCTTGTTTAATAGCTTTTTCGATTTTTATGTCTTTTTTTTTCATCATCTTGTTTAATATCTTTTTCAATCTTTATGTATTTTTTTTCATCATCTTGTTTAATATCTTTTTCAATCTTTATGTATTTTTTTTCATCATCTTGTTTAATAGATTTTTCAATCTTTATGTCCTTTTTTTCATCATCTTGCTTAATAGGGTTAAAATTTTCATCAACTTTAGATAAACGTGATTTTGAACGTTTTTTCTCCAATTTACAGATAACAGATTCTTTGTCGTTTAATTCAGAAATTTCATTGGAAGCTGTGTAATAAATAAGATCATACCTTGTAAAAGATGTGCGAAATAAAAATGAACCTGGACTTGTAATGTCTTACCTTTAGTTAATGTTGCTACTGACATCTCGGAAAAATAAATCTTGAAGGAATGAATCTCGAGAAAATGAATAAGAAAATTAAATGTTCAATTTTAGGCTTCGGCTGGCGCATATGCTATATATATAAGCATAATTAATTGCCATTTAGGTAAATAATCGGAATACATACATCCGAGCATTATTTCCAAACTCTTTTTTGTCATACGTGACTCGAAAGGTAATGAATGCTGTTTTATATATCACTTGACCGCTATTTAAGAAAATTTTTTTCATTTAATGTCACGGATTATCGTGAAATCGGATTATCGTGAAATTTGGATCTATTTTATGTACGATTTTTAAAAATTT